AATATATTCCAATAGGTGTTAAATCTCTTTTTAGTTCCCTGGTCTTTAAAGCATCTTTGTCAAGAGCCCAAATTTCATCGTCGTTGATGTAGTTGCTATTTTGATGGGAAAAAGAGAAAAAAGGATTGTCATGCTTCCTGCTCTTGCCATTAACGCTATTGTTATTAGTCTTAGTCTTCTTGTTGCTTGGAGAAATATGAAGGCAATTTGAATCAATGAGGTCTTGAATGCGGTCTTTAAGGGTGAAGCACTTTTCGATGGTGGGACCATGGCCTCTATGATATTTGCAATAGGATTTTGGATCCCAATTGGGAGACCGTTTCTCAGGTATTGGATCTTGGATTGGACCAATGGGATGAATGAGACCTTGGCCATGCAGATAGTTGAAAGCTTTATTATAAGTCATTCCTATTGGTGTGTATTTGTCAATGGTCCGTTTTACTCGTGGTGTAGGAGCATTGAGTTTTTCCTTAAGTCCTTGATGGGAAGAAAAAGGAGGACGCTCGTTCTTTTCATTCTTTCGAACTTGACGATGAGAGTTTTTTTTGATGACTGATATCCGATTCGCTAGGCCTTCCAACATACTCATAAGCATGGAAACGACATCTCAAAGTATATGAACGTCTTCTTTTAGACTTGATGAGTTTTCCTTTGTAATATCTAAGAAAACTTCTTCATCTTCCTCAATCATGGCCACTTCGTTAATGGTTGTTATATAGACTTCTTCGATCATGGGCTCACCAACAGGTGTAATGAGGAGAGAAGGATCAAAGAATTTGATCTTCTGCGATGGCTAGAACCTCGGAAGTTTTGTTATCATCGATCAAATCTTGGATAGCTTCTTTGAGTTTCCAACATTCCTCAGTATCGTAACCCCTTCCTTGGTGGTACTTGTAGTGTTTATTAGGATCCCACTTAGGTGGTCTGGCCTCCGAAACTGGGTCTTTGATAGGTCCTATGGGCATGACCAGTCCTTTATGGTGTATCAAAAGTTGTCTCGTAGCTCATACCGAGTGGAGTAAACACTCTTTTTGACCTTTGGATTCGTTGCTTAGAAGTGTTCGTAGCGTGTACTTCATTAATGGGAGAGGAAGAAGAAGGATAGTCATTCTTCTTTACGTTCGCATTATTATTATTAGCAGCTTTCAAAAGGTCATCTTCAATTTCGATACCTATATTGTAGACAGTTTTGAAAGTGCTTAGAGGTTTATATTTTAGGTGCTTTTGGTATTCATCTTGAAGATTTTTTATGAACATCCTCACGGATTCCTTTTCATTTGGGACAACGATCGTCTTGGAAAAAACTTCCTTCCACCTAGTATAAAATTCGGTGAAACCTTCATTGTCCCTTTGCCTTAAGATTTCGAGCTCTCTATTGTCAGTTTCAACTTGAATGTTACACTTGTATCTATCATTGAAGGCATGTGTAATACTATCTAAGTAGCCATTTTCTCAGAGTCCATGGAAAAGAACCATTGTTGACATACTGGTTCCAAGGAAAGAGAGAAAAGTCTGGGGAAAACCTTCTTGTCAATTCCCTTAATCTCCATAATCGTCTCAAAGGCCCTCAAGTAGAAGTAAGAGTTGTCAGTAGCTTTGAATTTAGGGATGTCATTGGCAGAGAAATTCTGCGGAAGAAGATCCTTATCCACTGAGACCCCTTTGGAGCTTATTCCAAAATAATTGTAGTCATTGGAGATTTGTCTCAAGCTATCCTCCATGCGCTTGATGGTTTCAATGTGTACTTCCTTGTTAGGGTCTTCGACTCGAGTAGTGAGTCCCTTGAGCATTTCGGAAAGTCCATTCATAGTTTCTTTAAGCTTCTCGAATTCTTCTTGATTGACCATTATTCCGAACTTTTTCCTGTGTTGAATCGGTTTATCAAAGAGTAATACTTGAACAAAAGTGTTGTCCTTGATTAAATGTTCTTCTCTCCTTAACTAAGCGCTGTAAAATTAAACCATTGACTCTTTTAATGACTTGACTCAAACTCGATTTAACATGCATAGATGGGAAAGATCATAGTGTATGAGGGGAATGATATGTATGGGGGAAGCATGTAAGAGGAAAGTATGTGAATGTGGAAAGTGTTTAAGAGAGAAAGTGTAATGTACGAAAAGTATGTGGGAAGGTATATGTGAATGTGGAAGGATATGGAATTTTTTGGGAATAAGATGAACCCTCAACTCAAATGACGGAAAGAATATTCATGCATGGACCTAAGACATGGTCATGGTGAAAAGACATGTACAAAGTGTGTGTCATGACTCGTGAGTGAAAGTGACATGCTCAAGACTCGTGTAATAACCCTTGACTAATTATGTGATCGGACTCAAACAAAGACTAAGTTATGACCTTGGTTATACATTAAATTAGCTGATTATGATGTTTAAACTCGACACGCAGGCTCGGAAAAAAAAAACCGAACCATCGCATGGCGATGGAACTGTCATGGCGCGCTAGTTCCATCGCGGCGCGACAAGACTGTTGCGTCGCGATGAAACTGGCGTTTCGCAGCACAAATTAAATTTTAGTACCGAATAATGTAGCGTTAATTTAATTTGTTTTTGGTAATTCTCTCGAAGGTATAAGCCTATAGTCTTGCTAAGTCAAGTATGTTTAAATTTTATAAATTCGAATTAATTAACCAATTGATTGAGCAAAGTCCATTTTAGTCATTGATTAGTTTGTTAAGACTTTATTTACAAAAACAAGTCAACACAAGAGGTTAGTTTAATCACAAATAAGATATGCACAAGTAAGGAATGCACAAGTAGTCAAGTAGTCAGAACATGATGCAATGAGTTTGCAACTTAACCATGGCTCTAGTTCTCTAAGGTCAAGGATTATGGTAGTCAAAGAGGGTCCATGGTTATGAGTCCGAATGCATCGCGCGGAAGCCTTACCTTTGGAAGGGTTGGCACGGATGGATGGGACCCCGCAAGTTAAATTTGCTTCCATGATTTGGTGAATTCATAATTCTCGGATGCACCCATCGTTGCACGGAGTGTTCGTTAGGGTGGATGGAGCGTGAATTCCCAGGGGCTAAAGCCATATGTAGAACACATATGGGTTCAAAAAAGAAGGAAAAACTCAATCAGGAAGTAGAATCATCGAGACAGTGCTAGAATCAGTCAAAACAAGAAGGCAGACACCTGGCTCGATGTCGCGAGAACTCGGCGCGAGAAGACAGGGTTTGTCGCGCAGTGACAACTCTATCACGCCACGATAAATCTGTCGCATGGCGATGGACCCTGCCGTCTCGCAACAGTTCCAACGCGTCGCGGCAGTTTTCTGTGTTCAAAGATTTTTTCCGATTTTTCATAGTATCTTTTCGATTCTAGTTGTGAAAGATAATTCTAGCTTTTCGTACGTGTAAAAATCCTATGTTTTTGACGCATTTCGGATGGTCTTTCCAATGCGGACCCTTTTATGCTTATGCCACAATGTTAATCAAAATTACGCACATGAATATCTAGAATCTTTCAAGTCTCATCCACTCATTCTAAATCAATTGCCAAAATAAATTTGTGGAATCAAAATTAGAAATCCTCCATAGTGGAGTCGGAAAAAAACTATAGGGAATATTTCAAACATCAACTTTGAGTACCACTATGATCATGCTTTTAGGCATGGTGGCGTTGAAAGGGAAGGAAGCTAGAGATAAAAGAATCGTCAACAAGTTTTAGGAACTTGTAAACCGTTCACAGGTGTGAAGGTTACAACCCATTCACAATCACGGAGATCGCTAACTCCATAGTGGTCCGGAACCATGACTTGATATTCGGGGATAATGGTAGGAATCTAACCTAAAAGAGATTGAAACCGCCCTAAATCGGCCTCTACTTAATTCTTATGATATTCATGTGCGCTTTCCGATCAACATACATCCATCAAATTAATCCTTATCCTGTTTAATCTACGTTGGTTGATTATTAATGCACAAATAAATCTATTATCGGCGATCACTTGAGTTAAAACCATATTAAGCCTAAATCAAATTATTAGTTATCTTATTAGGCGTGATTTCAAGTACAAATTAAATTTCCTTTTAACCTGCTAGAAAGGGCGTGATCAAGCAATAACAATAAATTATGAATAATCAAGAAATGTGTAATTATTGACACAACAATCATCATCATCATAATATCATAATCATAATAATCATAATCTCATCAAAACATGATTAGTAAGATCCAAGGCATGATACTAAACGGATTAATAACAAACCCTAGCATGTCACTAAAAAATCAAGATCAAAGCTTTCACCAAAACATGATATTAGAAATACTAGTTAACACACTAAACATGATTCTATGAATAAAAAAAGCATCCTAACATGATACTAGAAATCACAAAAGAATCCTAACATGCACTAGACGAAAAAGATAAAAAGGCACCGGTTCAAACCCCCCCTTTGGCACCGGTTTTGAACCGCTGGGTATTTGAGGGATGCCAAATCCAAGAAAATTTGGCACCGGTTCAAAACCGGTGCCAACTAAAGCATTTGGCACCGGTTAATCGGTGCCAACTACATGCTTTGACACCGGTTAACCGGTGCCAACTACTATGACGCGTTTTTTTTATTTTTTATTTTCAATACTATTGGAACCGGTTCAAAGCAAGAACCGGTGCCTAAAGTGGGGTTTTTTGCACCGGTTCTTGCTTTGAACCGGTGCCAAAAGTGTCAAAAAAAAATTTTAAAATTATTTTTTTGTTTTTGCATTTTTTTTCACTTAAATTGATATAGAAACATTAACTTATATATAAAGTTATATATTTTCATTTTTTCAGTTAACTTTCATACACAAACAGCAAGACCAACTCAACTAAAACAATATAGGTAAATAGCAAGACCAACTCAACTAAAACACAACAACCTCTTAAAAAAAACAGCCTGTAAACAAACACCCAACGAAACACAGCAAATAAAAACCAGCACGCAGCAAAACATGATAAAAAACAGCAGCAGCCAGTTGAGCAGGACCATGCACAACCAGCTAATCAAAAGCATCAGCAAACAAAGTCAGCACAGGACCAGGAACACAGCCTGCACCAGCACCCTAGTAAACCAGCATCACAAGAACTCAGCTACACAGGAACACAGCACCCTAGTAAACCTTGTAGTGTCTGAATTTGACTGTCAGTGCAAGTTGTTAAATTGTTCTTGCAAGAATTCCATACTCCTCCCGGATCAGCCGAAGATGGTACCAAGATGTTATAAAACTGCCAAAGTATATAATCAAAACCTTGAAAAATTAAGAAAATTCTTATACAGCAGATAAGTTCAATAGATTTAAGAAGCACATAGAAACTAAGAGATGTAGCAGTACCTGCCATGTATCATATGCAGTGTTTAAGATGAACATAGGAGTCTTGATGTAACTCAGGAAATATTGTGGAAATAAGCACTGATAAAAATCAGATCAGAACCTTATTATAATGTGATCAAAAGCAAGCAAATTATTATGTGAATATTTCAAGCAATATGCGTAATCATACTTACTTAGGATCGATTTGAGAACTGGTGCAGTTTTGGTTGAGATTTTGTTCAACGCCTTGAAGAGAAACGACATCATGGTATAAGGTTCTAATTGTGTCAGTGTTGGCTACATCTTTTCTGCAAGCATGACAAAGGTCTGAAATTAGAAAACATAGGGTAGGGTAACAGAAGGCGAAAATTTGTAGGACATAGAGTAAATAAGATGACTCACACGTCTAAGAAAAAATCAGCATCACTGATACATTTGACAGAAGCATTTCCAGGTAGAGACCTGGAGAAGTTGTCACAGTGCAGAAACACTGCTAAACCCCCTGCCGAGCAGCCAGAAAGCAAAGCCTGCAGAGTGCATCAGAGTACGCGTAAATGTCTTATGCCTATGCTTTTCGCAAGGTTAACATTTTAGAGGCTTTATTACAGTTAATCTTAGAAATTTATCTCAGTAATCTACCTTCTTTGCATGTGCCAACCCTGGTGGAAGAAGATCAGAAATAATTGCCTGCCAAATTTTTTGCCCTCTAAAGTAAAGCGATGAGGTCTGTCCAATGTTAACATATGCAAAAATTAGAAAGAAAGAACAGAAATCATTTTCTGTAATTGTACAAAAAACTGATCTGAAAAAAGTTCAGGCTGAAATATATTTACCCCATTTTCGTACAAGGAATTGCCAGCAAAGGAAGCTCCATCACAGTATCATAGCATAACGCGGTTCCAATTGTAGAAGTCTATTATCGACATAATATGAAGCATATTTTGAATTAATATTGTGAAAAGAAAAATAACATGTCTATGATTATACTTGGTATAATTCAAGGTTATATTTCACATTGGACATGTCATTTTTGTTACTAAGCTTAAAAAACAACTTCCAGCAAGAACCTGGCCTATAAACATTATTATGGATAGAATTGGAGTATGATCATAGTGCACGTAGTCGAATTGAAGCACTTACTAGGATGAGCGTATATAGCAACTTGACTTTAACAATGAGTACATAATGATAGACTTATAGTATAAAGTCCCGTAAATTCATAACAAATGAAGCAAGCAATAACTCAAAGAAATAAGTACCTGGGTTGAGGGATTCATTGTTGCTTAGGATCCCAGTAAAGTTATTCTCAGTCATGTAGTTTGAGGAACCAATTTCAGTAGTAGCCCTCTCCAAGCATGAATTTACATCATGGCACCATCCACCACCCTAACAAAACGAACATCATTATTTACGTACATCATCATATGTAACGAGTGATCCATCTCCGATCCATTGTCAAAGCTAGCTATCCTAATCAAATTAACTCATACTAATCCCAATCTTACCAGACAGCTTCATAGACCATTTAAACACAAACAAAAACAGGACCAGAATTCCAGCAACAACCAGAACATCAAACATCAGAACGCTATATGCTACTTGAGAACTGCTAGTTTGCTAAATGCTACGAAGTATAACAGAAATTATTGTTTACTGAAATATAAGTTTTCAACTATTCTATGTTTATAGCTCATTTAAAATATATTGAGGGTAATTAAAGAAAAAGAAAACAAACAATGGCAAAATGAATTGAATAAAAAAGCAAATGGATACAGAAATTTGTCTTAAAAACCTTCACTAAACAAAGCTAACAATGGAATTAGAAAGACTCATGCTCATCCAATTAGATATGAGATACTGTTAAAATCAACACCAAAAGTCAAGAAAAATATCACAATTTCTCATAGTCAGCCTGTGCGTTCCCTCCCAAATTTGTTTTCATGATAAAAACTCTATAAACCAATGACATAAAAGTGGCAAAACATCCGGATTATACTTACAAGGCATCAACAGCAAGCATTCTACTAATCTGGTGTCTTGAGTTGCCAGGAATTGAAAGTTGAACATGAGTCACTGGAAAGAACCTAATCAGTCAGCGGAAGCACAAATACAAATCACCAACTAAACCATAATTAGTTCACACAACGAGAAACTATAAATACATCCAATTTTTCTATTAAACGAGGAAGGCTCTAGATGAGAGTAGAACCTGTGCATTTCATTACAAAATGTTAGAAAAGAGAGCTTTCTAGAATCGGAAATGATAACCAACATGCCTTTCCCCATAACCTGCAGAAGGAATAAAATATGCATTCAATTACAATGCTAGAAAAGAGATGTAGCCATTATGAGCATTAACATGAGGGTTCCTTACATGACGTTACTTCGCACATACATGTCAGCCCAAAAATTTTCAAATTCGCAACAAAAAATCAAAACACTTCTCGCAGTTCATAAATTTATTACAACTGGATACCTAGGTTACTCGGATTCAGGTAAGTTTCCAAGTTTCCAAAAATTTCCAATGTCGAGGATCCGACAAGAGAACTCGAGGTGAAATGAAGAGTCCAAGTTACATAAATAACCTTAACTATGATCAAAATCAAAACAAAGCGCACAAAATCAACCTAAAATATAAAATTTCCCGTCCTTATTTTTCAACGATGCTAAACAATTAACCTAAAATGTAAGTCAACAAATTCATCACAATTAAGATAATTTCAACCTGACCAAAATTCCAGAATAAAATGTTCAGAAATGCTAAAGTGAAATGTAAACAAGGAATTAGAGAATGAAAAGGAGGTAATACAGTTGAAGCATGAGTAAATTACGAAATTAAACGGAGGGTGGCCGGCGAAGGGTGAGTGGCGGCGGGTCCCTACATCAGAACAGTGTTGTTGACGTTTTTCCTTGTCAATCACCCTCAGGACTGCAAGACCACCTGCAGAGCACACCGGGTTTCCTCCGTAAGTATTAAATTGAATTTTCTGAGCCAATACGCTAGCAATCTCAGGTGTGGTCACCACTGCTCCAAGGGGTAGGCCATTGCCGATTCCCTGCAGCATTATGTTAAGTTCTGGTCAGATAAAAGACATTATGTTAAATCAAAATAAGTACTACAGCTAGAGTATACTAAAAGACCTTTGCCATTGTCACTATATCAGGAATAACGCCTTGTGTTTCAAAGCCCCAATACTTGCTCCCTGTTCTACCAAATCCAGTTTGAACTTCATCAGCAATGTAGACTCCTCCAGCCTTACGTACCATATCATACACCAGTTTCAAATATCCAGGAGCTAATTCAACTGCTCCTCCAACACCCTAAACATAAATAACAAGTACCATTGAGTTACAGTAACTAAAAGCAAGTAAATTTTGAAGCACGAAACAAAGAGACAAGTAAACCTGAATTGTTTCAGCAATGAAGCCTGCTATTTTACCAGATGTGCCATAATCAATGTAATCTGAACTGTCAAAATCGACCACCGCAGCCACCCTGACCACCCAAGAAACCCCTAAACCCCCCATGAAACTGCCTCCCCATTGACTACCTAAAAGAAAGTCAAATCCAGAAAAACCCCAAAGTGAAACCCAAACCCAGAGAACCCAAATCGAAATTAAGAGGGTTGCAGTAGTAAACTAACCCTAATTTACAAGAACTAACCCTAAATTCGAAAATCAAATAAACGACAAACCCTAGATTGCGAAAACAAAAGGACAAAAATAAATTTTTACCTCGAAGCTGCTTCAATGAAGGTGAGAAAGCTCGAATCCGCTTCAATGGAGAATTAACAGTACGCGTAGTGGAGGAGTGATATGGACAAAGCTCAGAATGCGCTTCAATGGAGAACTACGAGCACGCGTAATGGAGGAGAAATATGGAGAAAGGTGGTCGAAGCTAAGAGAAGGGCGAAAACGAGAGTTAGGGATAACGAAAATGAAATGCAGGGGGGAAAGAAAGAAAGAAGAAGAAGCAGAGAAATGAATACCCCAATTATTTTTTTTATTTCGCCCGGTTTTTTTTTTCAAAAATGGCACCGGTTTAAACCGGTGCTAAATACCATAGTTGGCACCGGTTTAAGGAGAACCGGTGCCAACTCCTTACCATACTTTTTTTTTTCCATAAGTTGGCACCGGTTTGAACTGGTGCTAATTAAATGCTTGGCACTGGTTTTGGTTAGAACCGGTGCTAACTCTGAATTTTTAAGTCCCGCCCATTTATTTTGGCACCGGTTTTCAAGAACCGGTGCTAAGGGGGGGTGCCTATTTAGTTTTTTCTACTAGTGATGATATTAGGAATCCAAATAATATTCTAAGAATGGTTTCTATATCAAAGGAATAAATATTTGGGAGATCAAATTACTCACTTTGATGCCTCGTATTTCTTTTTATTAAAACAATACACGCATTAGTAACTTCAAGAATGATTAAATCAAATAAACCAAGTAAATCAAATAAGAATTGAAATATAGATTTTGGACCAAACCCTCAGAACTATCAACCTTTCACGTCAAGGTCGAAGACAACTTCGAGATTGGCTAGGAGTACTCAAATCTCGTGAAGGAGGTATGGTGTTTGATTAGGGAAAATGCATCAAAAGATGTGTGTTTGGACGTGTTTAGGCTAAGGCTAAGAAAATAATCAAGAAAGAAGAGAGAGAGAAAGTATTAGAGAGAGGATTAGATGATGATTGTTGGTGATCAAACTTGTTGATGATTGAAAATGGGGTGAAAAGAACTCTATTAATAAGAAAAAAGAGGGTCGAAGGATGAGAAAAAGAGTTAGAATTCGAATCGGAACAAAACAGATTCCATTGCGGCGCGACAGCCTTGTCGCGGCACGATAATCAACAGTTTTTGCGATTTTTGTTTTTATCATAATTTTTGATCCAGAAATCGGAATAAGATAAATAATATATCGTTGGAAAGATCTTGAAGTCTAATTTCCAACTCTATTAGAATCATATTTATATCTTTTGTAGAATAATAGATATTGCCAAAATAATGGAAGGGTGTCAGTTTTGGATAGAGTTTGGTATTTTAATCATATCTTTTTCGTTTCTAATCGGAATTGGGATTATAAAATATCATTGGAAAGATAATTTCAAGGGATATCCAACCATTTAAGATTTAAATCATATCTGAATGTCTTTGAATTCTAATAGAACAAAAATTATCAAAAAGAAGAGTTTTATTCAATATCAAACTCTTGATCTTTATCTTTCAAAAAGAATAGATTAGAACCATCTAGAGACTTCTAGAAGTTCCTGATGAATCCTAATTGGTTTAGGATTGGGATTAAGGTATTTGGACCCTCAAATGATCATTGGGTCGTAGGTAAGGTGGACCTAGGTCCGGGTTGGGCTTGGTTTAGTATTTTGGCCATAACTTCTTCGTCATAAGTCGGATTTGGGCTTATCATATATTATTGGAAATCTCTTGTCAAACCCCATTAAACTAAAAAATAATTGGACCATGATTAAGGCCCAAAATAATCAGGTTTGGACGTTTTATAAAGAGGACACGAAATGAATGATTTTAATGACACGAAATGAATGATTTTAATGACACGAAATGAATGATTTTGGGTTTAAAGGCACGAAATAAATGATTTTGGTTTAAAACATTCAAGGAAAGGCTAGAAATGTTTAAGTCTAAAGGTAAATTCACGAGTCTCTTCAACTCTTCACCTATCTCGATAATCACAGACGTGAAAGATACTCATCGCTAGGCTTGGTTTTTGGGGATACACAATCAGGTGTCTACACTCATCAATCATGGTTTTCATTTATCCAATCAAGAAGTCAACAAACAATTAAGGATCTTATGAAATAAATCAAGACTATAGAATCAATCAAATAAAGCTAAATCAGGAAATGAATCACTTGATTGACATAATATTAGTCGCGTATTGGTCCCAACTGAGTACGGACAGTATAGACTTAACTACACCTTTATGAGTAACTCGAATTCCTTTCTGAGCCTTTCAGAGAAAGACAACTTCCCTCTAGAGCTCGGACCATTTGATGACGCGTAATGAATGCTTGGGCAACAAGCACAATTATGTCCCATGATTGAAGGAGCGAATAAAGGAAATATCAATAAACTAAGTCAACATTTCCAAAAAGATGAAGATGCCAATCAATATTGTCAAATTTACCAAAATATTGAGGACTCTTCAATAATTACCTTTATTAGATTTACAAGTCATTATAAATTGCGATACTCTTTGTAATAGAATTTATTCGTACATTATCTAATACAATTTACTACACTTTATACTAAAATCTCTGATATTATGTCGTCCTTGCTGATATAATTTCGTCCTTACTCAAAAATATCTTTCTTACTTTGATCTTTGTTCTTTGATTTATTATTATTATTATTATTATTATTATTATTATTATTATTAGTATTATTATTATTATTATTATGATTACTATTATTATTATTATTATTATTATTATTATTATTATTATTATTATTATATCTAAAAAAACAGACAAAGTCATACAACCTACAATAAATTAGTGGGAAGCCGAGATACAAGCTGGGCCCCCACTCCTCTAATTATAGAAAAGCCTACCCTAGTGAAGATATGAGCTGCCACACGAGCCCCAATGTCTTGCGTCGTTGAGAACCTCTGAACTCGCTATAGCAACGCAATAGCCTCCTTCTCTAATTCCCCAAGAGAAGAAAAGGAGAAGGGAATGAAAGCAGGCCATATCCAATCAGCCGACAACTAGCTTCATACTTCACCCGTTTCCGATGAGCCGCATCAGCCACAACCCGTCCAGGAACAAAGTCAGATAGCCCCGTCTGTGTCAAAGGAGAAGACCCTGTTAAGTCCAAACAAACATCGCGACCACGATCCCAAGAATAAAGTAACACATCAGCATGTCTGAGGGTTCCGTCATTCCCTCCAGACAACCCTATGTCAACCTCCTTTCTTGCTAAAACCCCAGATCTGTAGCAGATATCAATAAGGGTATCCCGGACAACATTGTGCCGATGATTAATACCCAAATACTAGCACACGACACCGCGTTATTATTATTATTATTATTATTATTATTATTATTATTATTATATTATTATTATTATTATTATTACAGTTTTATTATCTCATTGCTCTTGAATCACTCATTTGGAGATTGTGTTTATTTTCTTTTAGCAAATTTGATTATTAATACCCCTTAAAACCTTTAACAAATTCCTAGAAATACCCTTTCTAAGATTTGTCCAAAACACTACACAAACTACGTTTCAACATTCTTGAACATTTGCAACTTTTTACTGTTGATTGGATCATCCATTGACAATTTGACACTAGCATGATGACGGCGCTAGCTAATCTATACTACGTTTTAAAAAACCGAAGATTTAAAGGACACTTGTCCTCAGGCTATTCTAATTTTTTTTTTTGAACTAAAGTGTAGATACTAATCCTTCAAAAAAAAGTGTAAATATTAAAAATTAAAAAAAAAAAAATAATCTGTACTTTATCCCAAATGTTTCCAATCACTTCAAAAATACAAGGGAAATTCTCTCTGGTATCATCGTATTTTCAATTTTTCTCTTTGGTTATGAGTGAAATAAGATTTTATCTATGGTAATCAATAATTTATTAAGCTAAGCTAATAGTGACATTAATGATAATATAATACAATTAAAAGACTAACTACAGTTAATCTTGGTTAATTAATTATGTTTTTACATTTATACCCTTAAAAAAGGATTCTTCTTTAATTTCCCTTCCAGATTTTCCTGCTTTGATATCCCCCTTTTTAAAACCCTAAATTACCTTAATTCATCTTCAATTCCTACAATTTGCACCTTCCTCTCAATTCATGGCTAAATCTGGTTTTTTCGTCTGTATCAATGAGAGCTATCACTATAGACGACAAGATTTCTTGGGTGAAGCACGTTTCCTGAAAATGTGTCCCTCCTAAAGTGGCTACTGTGAAGGTTTCTGAAACCACCCAAAATCCACAAAGGATGTTCTTCAAATGCAGGGCTTGCGATTATTTTGCTTGTTTAAAGGAAGAAGATATTATCATGGTTAGGGAGGAATTGGAAGTTGAACAAGGTCCAAATGCTACTATGAAGGATAAATTAGATGAATTGGCTAATTTTATGAAAGTTGTTGCAAAAATGGCACTCATTCTGTATTTTGTGTTGTTGTTTGTTGTTTCTAAGTGATGTATGCTTTATTGTGTTCTTGGCTTTATGCCTTATGAATGTAAACAATGAACCTTTATTATGAATAAAAAAGTGGAAGGATTTTCTGAAATTTTTTGTATTGAATTGCTGCTATATTGCAATACATTACTCAAGCTTATTCAAAAGATAACATCAAGACTTAAAATTTTTCTTAGCAATTGCACATCATTGCTTTAAAAAAACATAAGTCAATGTTTAACAACCCAGAAATGAAATACTAATAACAACAAATAAGTTCAAAATACTTGTCCAAATTTAACTACTGTCATGATCTAATGACATATAAACTTCTAAACAGGCTAGGAGGCAGAAACACCCACTACTAGAATACGCGCCTTTACTGATGGGAAATACTGATGACCATTAAAATCCATCGGTAAAAATATAATTTACCGATGGTTTAATCAAGCCATCGGTATTTTGAGAAATACCTATGGCTTAATCATCAGTATATTTTTTCCGATGCTTTCCATCCATCG